GTTAAGAGTCCATATCGAAAAAGCTCTGATTGGTTCAATTTCGCCTCGACGAAATCCCATTGGCTAAGAGCCCACAGGAGAAAACCTCTAATTGGCTCGATTTCGGCTTCGCGAAATCCAATTGGCTAAGAGCCCATATCGAAAAACCTCTGATTGGCTTGATTTCGCTCCCGCGAAATCCCATTGGCTAAGAGCTCATATCGGAGAAACCTCTGATTGGCTCGGATTGTGCAGATTGTTTTCTGCTACTTCACTGAGAAATCTGCAGAAGGTCAAAAGAACATTTTTTTTGTTCGGTGCGAACAAACGAACGAACGAACTAGTGGCGGAGCCAGGATTTTGAGCTGGGGGGGGGGCTCAACCCCCTCTGAGGGACCTTTGAGCCCCGGTTAGCAAATAAAAGACATGGTTTAAAAATTTTCCTGGGAGGGGCTGAGCCCCCCCCCCCCAGCTCCACCCTGGCTCCGCCACTAGAACGAACCTACCTCATTTCGGCGTATGACCCTCCTTTCAGTAGAGGGAATAAAAACAAATATGTGCATCTTATAGCAATGCACGTTGGCTGACTGTTTTCTTGTCGTGTTCTTTGGGAACGTATTTTCTTTTCTGGAAGAAATTCGATGTTTGAAGCAATTGTACAAATTTTCATTCTTGAATTAATCGAAGAGCAATAAAATTTGTGCCAAAAAAAAATTCATCGTACTTTGGGTATGTATGCGGCCGCTACCGAAATAGCTTTTAACTTTTAATGCAAATAAAAAAGGTGGAGAAAAAAAATCCCATCTTTTGTGCACAAAACTGCAAATTGTAGGTGCATAAATAAGAAGTGTGTTGACACTGTAAATAATTCCATAGTTACAAATATTTCGTATTTGTCCTCCAGAGTAAGTAATTATTCGAACTACAGCAGCTTCAAACACTACGATTCGCACAAAAATTAATAATTTTTATTGGTATTGGCCTTAAAAACACAAGCTTTACTCGGATTTTAGGCTATCGAGTTTATGCGTTGGTCACTTTTGAAGTATGCTTGAACTCAATACTGTCATACATCAATGAATTAGATTGTTTACTTGAAGCACCATAAAATAATCAAAATATTCATTAAAATGTGATCTGATTCGTAACAAATCACCTGTTGAGCATTAGTGCAACATAACTGACAGTGACAATAGTTCATATCGATCATCGAATCAAATTTCGCGATTGACGGATCGATATTAACCTAAACCGTAGTATCCTTATCTGTAGCTGCTAAAAGACACCCACAAATTTATAAAACACAGTCCAAAAATAAATACATAGACGCTCTGCAATTAAATTACCGGGTGTGTACTCTCAAGCTAACTCTTCATAGACTTAATATAGAGAGCTGAAATTTTACTCTAAGGTATCTAGGCCAAAATACACGTTCACTGAAAATATCATCAAGATTGGATGGTCGGAAAAAAATAATATTTTAAGCGAGCCCATTAATAAACAAAGAATTGGCATTCAGAAGGAAAAAAAAAGAAAAGAAATACCAATTGATAGAATGTATGTGCAGTGTAGGAGCTATTTAAACGAAAAGAAAAAAAAATTGTAAAGGGACAAAAAAAACAGCTTTATGGTTCGTTCTTAGTTTCTCTCATTAGAATATTTCAAAAGAAAGAAAGAGCAGTTTATCAATAAACAAATAGATTGTTGCTATTGCTACCATATGCATCTATAAAAATGTCCTTTTAATAATGACTAGGCAACATTGTTGTATTTGTTTTTGTTCATTAGCAACTCGGGTATCTGTTTAATGCAAATATGCACTGGATGAATCAAAAGGGAATGGAGTTAGGAAACTTCAAATTCGTTTCAATTTTTTTTCTTAATAGACTGATAGTCAGATCTCATATTTGTACAACATGTAAGTACTATATGAAAATACTCAGAAAAGCTGCCTATCATTAGCCTATACTTTTAAGGTATTATAAAAAAAAATATTCGAACGTCTCTCGTGCACTTCTATATAACTGTCACAAAAGTTTGCTTTTTTTTTAAACAAAGTCAATTGAATTCTTCCTGTTATACTCTATGTTTGAGTAATTTTCTATTCAAGAAATCTAAAACAATGTAAGAATCAATGGAATTTAAATCATCTAATATGTTTTGATGTAAACAAACGAAATGATAGAAACAAACAAAATACGACAGGGAAGCAATAAACTTTTACAATAATCATATTACACTATGAAAGAAACTTTCCTACATTTTTCAATAAAATTTTAAGGACAAAAGTTGATGCTACAACTGCTTTTCTGAGTATTATCAAATAGTATATGTGGTCTAGATATAAGATACAACTATCGATCTGTGAACAAAAAAAATGGAAAAATATTCTGAGTTTCGTTACTGTTGTGTTCTCGTACTTTTAGATCATATTGTATACATATACATACACACCAACATACTTTTTGAGTTTCTTTAAGTAAACATTGACGTTATATTTGACTCATAACGAAAAAGTTTTTTTTTTTTAATTATTCAAAATTGTAGAATTTAATATTTATTGTCTGTTATAAAACACACCAAATGGGAAGCTGGATCGGTCATATTGCACCAGGTATGTTCAAAACAATGAACACTAATGAATATAAATTTCTTCTTATTCATTTTTTTTTGCTTTTATTTAGGTGTATTTTTCATATTTTTTGCATTCTGGTGGCATATTAATAATTGTGCGCGTTATATACGATCACTTGTTTATAACAGAGATGAAAATACACGACAAGAAAAATATGAATTTCAAGGTTCAACAACTTATCCTTGTCACTGTATACCTATAAAGTTCATTCGTCGTTTGCCTATTGAAAGCATTGTAAAAATTCTTGTCACATCCATTCATTTTTCAATCGAACTTCACGATGGCTATCGCAGTCAACCAAAACCTCATATTATTACTCTATATGTCAATCATATGGCTATGCTTTTTGGATTTTTTCTTAGTTCTTGGGTTGAGATTTTAGTTCATTATAAAGTTCCATTACCAAAACGTATCAATCAAGTTATGGGAGTTCTAGCTTTTACTATGGAAGGTTTTATGTTCCTATTTCATTTACATGGACGAGGTATCGTAGAGGTACATGCACATCAATTACTTATTGTATCAATAGTTTGCTCAACAATTAGTGCTATTGGAGAATGTTTTGATCCTAATAATTTTTGGTTTATTGTACTGCGAAGCTTTTTTGCTCTAACACAAGGTACATGGTTTATTCAAGCAGCATATGTTCTTTTCCCGCAAACAACCAATCCATCTTTTATTTGGGATGATACACATGACTCTGTTTCACTATTAACAATGTCATATGTTTATCATCTAGCTGGAAATGTACTTGTACTTATTGTCGTATATTTATTAGTTTATTTATTTATATCACGTACAAGTAAATTAAATCATAATCGAATTCAAGATGATGAACCTCTTAATGGATACAAATTAATTGTTAATGGAAATGATGAAGAAAATGGACTTTAAAAATATTCTATGTTCTGATAAAATAAACAATCTTCCTTTTGGCTTCATATATCTTTTTTTCTATTACGGGTTTTTTTT